ATAATTCTAAAAAAAAAATATATGTCTAACCCGTTTTTTTGTGTGTTTTTTTTTCACATTACGCCTAAAGGTGTGGGAAAAGGGGCCTTCACTTACTCTTCCCATATGATACTGATACTTCACTCTGTATGACAGCGTGTTACGTCCATTTCTCAACAAGACGTCTTCTGATAGTTTTTCAACACATTCTCTGGTGTAGTGGCTAGAAGCTCGTCTGCTGATCCGAGGGTCTCAGAATCAGGTCGACTTTATCAAATATGAAACTGGCTGTCAGATCTACCCAGTCTTAACTGGGTGTCAGGTAAAGTCCTGGGAAGTGAAGAATGTATTCTGACCACATCACCCACCAAGTGCCGATTAATCTATAAAATGTAGATCTAGTTCTATATGTTCAATACAGATAAGGCAAGAAGGATCCTTTACTTACGCTCCGTGAAGAGGCATATAAGGGTGAGGCTGAGTGGTCTAGAGGTATGGTGTCTGCCTCGAGTGCTAGAGGTCTAGATTCAAGCCCCGATGAAGACTAGGATATTTTCTGTTCACGTTGACCTCTAGTAATTTTCCCTGGTCTCTGGGTAGTGAGATCGGACACCCGTGTGTATTGTTGCGCACGTAAAAACATTCCTTGGTAGATGGAAATCAACAAGAGTAGCCTAACGGCTCTGCCCGTGCAGAATATGGAGTTAAAAATATACCCAAAGTATTTGAGGATCCTCGCCGGTACTACGGACTTGAGTTAGAAGTAGAAAAGAGCACTTATGGGTCTCTACCCGTGTGTCTTGATGTTGATTCGTTGTTCAAACCTCAAACAGGGGTACAAGTAACACATTGAGTAGAAAATACACCAGGTGTGAGAGTTTGAGAGAGACTAGAGTTTGTTTCAAGCAGACCCTCAAGACAGCCACGTTGCAAAGGACCAGCTACATGACGACAAAGACCAAGCATCCTCATGTCCTCTCACTGGACTGCAGCTTACTTTGTAACCTCACTTGTGCCCTGAAATAACCGTGCTCTGTGGCTGAACGGGGTCATCACTCCCATCCACTCCTTACTTCAGGCTACCAGGGTGTTAGTCTTAGTCAAGATTTTTTTTCTGGCCAGATACAATCTCAAACACTAAACTAATTCAAGTCACAACGAAGAAACTCTAGACAGTATGATAACCAAGAGAAGATGGAAATGGCTTGGCCACGTTATGAGAATGAATCCTGATATACCTACCAAAACAGCTCTCACATGGACACCAGAGGGAAAGAGAAAACAAGGGCGCCCAAAAACAACATGGAGACGAACGATGGAAAGTGACCTGAGTGCGACATCTCTGACATGGAAAACTGCACTGAAAATTGCACAGGACAGGAAAGAATGGAAAGTCCTCTCTGAAGCCTCATGTGCTACTAGGCATAACGAGAACTGATGGGTTTTCCCATTTTTTGATCCGTTCCTGTCCTAGGGCAACTCAGATCAAATGTTCCTCGTGTCCTATTTGAAGAACTAGTGAACAAACAATTAGTTCCGGTACAATCCAGAAATATGCGCACACTGTAAATGCATATGACAGTTGCTAGAGGCGCCAAAGCCAACAGTAGCCACCAAAAATGCAGTTTATCGTTGATAGAACTTGTTGAACATTATAAGCTGGCTATACACACGTAGAATTATTACATAATGTATTTCACCAGCCTACACGTAAACCGACTAACGGCCATGTTCAACACCACGACTCAACCGCTGCACAAATAAAAGGCATTTCACGTGAAAAACACAACCCACAGGACCGCATCAAGCACTAAACCTAATAGCTCAGACAGAAACCGTGGTGTGCCGTATTTGTGTGGAAACTGCAGTAGCAAAGCGCTGATGGAAGCAAAAATAACTTTAAAGCTTAACATTCTGCCTTGCCTAGTCCTCCATTTTAGACCAGGATTTTATGTGACCGTCTAGAGTTCCAGCATGACTGACATATCGCTGAACAGTGTCTCTGAGATTCTCCTAACTGAGATGAGTTGAGTCAAAAATTGACATCATCTCAGTCGCAGCATTTCCATGTGTGCTCCGTCCTCATCTTCAGAGTTCCAATACTGATGGTACCTGTCACAATCTGGTTAAATGTCCATCTTGCCTTTCTTCTGAGTGTAGTGAGCCGGCCAGACCCTCTAGTTACACCCAGGTGCCTCATTCTCTCCAGGCCATAATAATCTTCCTTGTCTACAGATTCCGTTGCTAGTTCCCAAAGGGTCTTGACCACATCTGCCTTGCCATGTATCATTTAACCACCCAGTGGTACAGATCCCTCGAATCTGTCTGCCTGTTCATTACCCACCACGCCGGCATGGCATGGAGAAAAGATCTAAAGTATGCTCACTACCCGTGACCTTTCCACTGAAGCTTGCCACTCTGCTCGAAGCATCGCTGTCTTCACCTTCTTCAGCGTGATTTCAGAGTCTGTTACAATTACGACATGTATGCATCTTGTTCACTGAAATGTTAATCTTGGAATTCTTATCATAAATTAGGTATACCTCAATAAAATTTTATTAAACACGAATCAACATACTATTTGAATGTTCCTTGTAGAGTTATTATTTCCCTTGTTAAAAGTACTTAATTTACTTTCCATAAAAAACATCTTGGACATCAAAAGTGACCACTGAGAAGCAAAAGTTGTCATAATCTTTTTCTCGCTATAAAGCATTGTCATCCATTAAGCATGTGTGTGCCAATGTCAGTATTATAGCTATCAGGAAATAGCATAAAAATTAAACGCAAATGGCTAACTAGACAAATCAACAAACCAACAATTTTAAACACAAAGACGGATATTATATACATACAAATATACACTTTCATATACATACATAATAATACATATAGGCATATTATACAAATACATAGATACATGCACATACACACATACATACATACACACAGACATACATACATTCATTACATACATACACGCGCGCATACACGTATATACGAGTAATACATACATACGTTCCCACTATCATACATGCACACGCATTCACACCCACATACACATGCATGCAAGACAAACACACATACATACCCAGACAGTCACACATATCCAGATAGTCACACATACCCAGACAGTCACACATACCCAGACAGTCACACATACCCAGACAGTCACACATACCCAGACAGTAACACATACCCAGACAGTCACACATACCCAGACAGTCACACATACCCAGACAGTCACACATACCCAGACAGTCACCCATATCCAGACAGTCACACATACCCAGATAGTCACACATACCCAGACAGTCACACATACCCAGACAGTCACACATACCCAGACAGTCACACATACCCAGACAGTCACACATACCCAGACAGTCACCCATATCCAGACAGTCACACATACCCAGACAGTCACCCATACCCAGACAGTCACACATACCCAGACAGTCACACATACCCAGACAGTCACACATACCCAGACAGTCACCCATATCCAGACAGTCACACATACCCAGACAGTAACACATACCCAGACAGTCACACATACCCAGACAGTCACACATACCCAGACAGTCACACATACCCAGACAGTCACACATACCCAGACAGTCACACATACCCAGACAGTCACACATACCCAGACAGTCACCCATATCCAGACAGTCACACATACCCAGACAGTCACACATACCCAGACAGTCACACAAACCCAGACAGTCACACATACCCAGACAGTCACACATACCCAGACAGTCACACATATCCAGATAGTCACACATACCCAGACAGTCACACATATCCAGACAGTCACACATACCCAGACAGTCACACATACCCAGACAGTCACACATACCCAGACCGCACACATACCCAGACAGTCACACATACCCAGACAGTCACACATACCCAGACAGTCACACATACCCAGACAGTCACACATACCCAGACAGTCACACATATCCAGATAGTCACACATACCCAGACAGTCACCCATATCCAGACAGTCACACATACCCAGACAGTAACACATACCCAGACAGTCACACATACCCAGACAGTCACACATACCCAGACAGTCACACATACCCAGACAGTCACACATACCCAGACAGTCACACATATCCAGACAGTCACACATACCCAGACAGTCACACATACCCAGACAGTCACACATACCCAGACAGTCACACATACCCAGACAGTCACACATACCCAGACAGTCACACATATCCAGACAGTCACACATACCCAGACAGTCACCCATATCCAGACAGTCACACATACCCAGACAGTCACACATACCCAGACAGTCACACATACCCAGACAGTCACCCATATCCAGACAGTCACACATACCCAGATAGTCACACATAACCAGACAGTCACGCATACCCAGACAGTCACACATACCCAGACAGTCACACATATCCAGATAGTCACACATACCCAGACAGTCACCCATATCCAGACAGTCACACATACCCAGATAGTCACACATAACCAGACAGTCACACATACCCAGACAGTCACACATACCCAGACATTCACACATACCCAGACAGTCACACATACCCAGACAGTCACACATACCCAGACAGTAACACATACCCAGACAGTCACACATATCCAGACAGACTCATATATACTCATACATACCAAGGTCGCATTTATTCTTCCTAAGATAAGGCAAGTATCCACACCAATTCGCTCCTCAGCTCAAAGCTGTTTGAGCTAGGTGGGACGTTTGGTACACGACGCTCAAAATTTGGCGTTAACCGGAAACTATGGTATAGCGCAACAGATAGCGCGTCAGTCTCATAATTAAGTAACACACGTAAGCGATCTGAAGGTCGTTACTTCGATCCTCGCCTGGGAAATTTTTTATGAGGGCCTCCGCCGCGAAATGGTCAAAGCGTTAGACATGTCTGACAAATACTTGACACAAATTCTAGAAATACAAACGAAACAAAAAGACGCTTTGTTTACATGCACACAGTTAATCAAAGTCATCAATTTCCCATCGGTGTCCACGTTTTGGGGTAATAAAGATCATCTCTAAACCACTTTCCCAGAATGGAATCTTTTCTCATATACCCAGGATAGTAAATGACATGTCCATATGCCAGCCATGCACTCCAATATCCAAAAGTTCCGCTAGAAATTATAACGTGATCACATTTGGATAACACGGCCATATGAACAGCTGCTGTCGCTGGAGGCATGAAAGAAACATCTTTACCTGACAAGTGTTTATGGCACCACGGGAGATCATCGCTGACAACTAAGAACGTGATGTTTCTTCCCAAAAATTTTGATTTCATCAGACTGATAGCTTTCATGAAATATGATTTTTCAGGCACTCCGTAACCCATCTTTTTGTGTATCTTTAAGAGAAAGTCGGTGCGACGTACATGCACTCCTACAATCATTGATGCGTTGTTTTTTACATAAACGTCGCGAAGTATCATAGCAGCGGCGTTAGCTATAGTGTCATGGAAAGTAAACTCTTGCTTGACTTCTCTCTCTACTCCAGCGAAGTACCAGTATGATAGAAGGTAGGATTCGATTGTTAGGTTCTGCATAGGTAGATTCATCATTCTTTCGTCATAGAAAGATTGTTCTTTGATCACAGGCCACCTGCGAGTAAAGAAAGGGTTGCTGAGGGACACGGTTGAATACAATAATTACATACACAACACAACACATAAGACACATGCACACAAACACACACGTATACATTATTACATCATCGTCATTAAACTGTGATGCCACCAAGCATTACAATCGCTTTCAGTTAGGTCCATAATTCATTTTGTTTAATCCTGTTTAATGGCATTTTTTTTAAAGGTAAAGTCAGGAGATGTGAACCAGCGTCATTGCACATGGTTATAAACCATAAGTGCTCTGCCACCAGTGCGGACAGCTGATATGTACTGTCCGCCTGTGTCGCCGTTCGCACGTAACTCTGTAGCTACAGCGACGTTCCTCCATCTACCCCAGTGTGTCAACTCTGGTACCAATTTCCTTGAGGCTGGGTGAACCCCGGGAACCGCCAGGTTTCGAACCCCGGCTGTGGGCTGCAGCAAGTCGTAGCTGAATTTGAAAGCGAGCCTCTTATCGACTGCGCCAACGCGGCCCCTTATTATTATTTTTTTTTTAAGCAAGCGCTGATTATTTAGATTTGTGGAAGCAAACGGTATAAACAGATTTAGCCCGGAATCATGCAGACAAACGGACGTGGTCTTCACTTCGCTTTAACCCTAGGGGAATTGTTTTTGAATGTAGTCGGTTTTGTGATTCAGTTGAAAGGATCCGCCTGTTTGCTTTATTTTAATCAATTGCTACTGAAGAATGAACATGACGCAATTTGCTAAGTAATAAAGCGTGCAATCTAGTGACTCTGTCCTCTTTGTTCAAATTCACGAGAACATTTAGGGGGAAAAGGGGGGGGGGGGGGGGGTGGGGGGGGGGGTGTGATTTATAGGAAGGAGCTTAACATAACATTAATATTATTTTTATGGCTCTCCCCCGAACTTCTACCACGGCGAAACACATACCCTAACAAGGCCTCAGTCCATTGAAAAATACGCGACTTCCTGCTACGAACAAATCGCGGCAAAACTAGGATTACCTGTCAATTTCAAGAAACGCAACACTGCAGACAATAGTAGCAAACGAGAATAGCGACCGTTGAAATTTTGAGACACGTAACATTACAGACGCTAAAAGCGACATGGCGGGGATACGACGCGCTCCGACGCAGATTAGCGATACTGTTCTTCCGATTGAGGATTTAGCAGCATGTGAGACCTGTCGATTTGCATCGAGTAGTGACCGATAAACTGGTCTGGTTGCAATGGCCAATACGCAACACGCAGGTTTGTTCCTCCTGCTAGGGTGCTATGTCGTTGGCAGCGCGGCAGGTGTCTTCTGACAGATACTCGTGGCTTGTCGTCGTTGTAGTACTCAGTGTAGCGTGCGCACTGGCTCGTTCTTTGCCAGCTGCAACGTATCAACTGGGAACATAGTCATGATGATGTATTACTGGCTCTTCGATTAAACTGACCGCCGACAGTAATGCCCGCGCTCTTACGAGGATGGGGGCTAAACTAGATGCCTAGGACTTAGGAGTAAATAAATTTGAGGAAGTTGCAGGAGATGCGGTAGTTGCTGCTCGTGAGTCCCAGTCATCTCGTTTACGCCCCCCCCCCCCACGTAGCTGCGCGGGGTTTACTGTCGGTGGTAAGGCATAATCAATGAAACAGGTCCGCAATTAACAAATCGCTGAGACCCTGTTAGAGCATTTGTTTCGTTATTCAGATGACCCTAGTTTTGCCGCGATTTGTTTCTCGGCCGGAAGTCCGAAAAGTCCGCATTTTTCAGGACTGAGGCCCTGTTAGGGTATTTTTTAGGGCATTTGTTTCGTTATTCAGAGGATCCTAGTTTTGCCGCGATTTGTTCCTCGGCCGGAAGTCCGAAAAGTCCACATTTTTTAGGACTGAGGCCCTGTTAGGGTTTTTGTTTGGTCGCCATATTGCCGGTGTTAGAAGTTCGGAGGAGAGCCTTATTATTATTATTATTGAAAGTTGTTAAAACAACACCAATCGTTTTAAAGTTGTTGACACACACAAAAATGATATGGTTTGGGCATCTAATGAGAATGATACCCAGGCCAGCAGCAAGAGCGTACAAAGTGCAAATCAAAATACCAAGAGGCAGGGGAAGACCGAGAAGAATGTGGAATGAAGGAGTCACTGACTGCATAACATCATGGCATATCAAGCGACCGAGCTCGCCTTGGCTCGGCTGCCAATCGACTGATGATCTGCGGCGCTTGAAGCATTAGCATATATTTACACCCCCCCCCCCCCCCCCCCCCCCAAAAAAAAAAAAAAAAAAAAAGAAGAATTTTTTTTATAGTGTATAACCAAATGAAACATATTTTGGTTGTTTAGTTTTCATAAGAAAATGTCCATTTAATTGTTTTGCCATTGCTTTCTAATCAGTACCATTGTCGACATAAGGGCACAACGGTCCACTGCCAAATAGCCTGCAACTGGAAACGAATTAGTTTGAGTGTGTTCAACAACTCATAAATATACATGAAAGCCATTTTCCGTGAAACGCTCAGAAACATACATGCAAGCTATTTGCTCAGTAGTAGTAGTAACAACAGCAGCAGTAGTAACAGCAACAGCGAAAGCAGCAGCATTAGCAAGATTCATAGCATTCCAAACTAGTCTAAGCTGTACTTCCCTTTACCTGGTAATGTGTATCGTAGTTGGAGCAGTGTTGCACTTACTTCTCTGATCCTTTAATAACGCCAACGTTTGACAGCTTGAAGGCTTTCGCCAAATCTGAAGAAGGGTCACAGAAGGTTCGCCTCCCTTGAGCCCGAGCTATACCAAGCAACGATGCGTACATAAACATATGGTTTCCTAGTCTGCCCAAAGCAGGATTCTTGGGAAGAACGTAAAGTGAAACATTTGTTACCTGGTAACCCTTGCCGTATTGTTCATAATAGGTCAAATTTTTACACGCTAAAGCAGATGGCTTTGAAGTCGTATTGCTACTGGTCGTATTGATATTTCTGGTCGTATATCCCTCGTTGATGGTCAAAAAGGTCGTGTTGCTGGACAGAGAGCTTCGAATGCAGTTCATGTTGTATATTTTGTCCGAAAGCCAATGGTGACTCGCATGACTGAAAGTGGAAATGACCGTTTATTAATTACGGGGTAAATCACTAGTTTTCTTCTTCTTCGCGTTTACCGGCTGTAAACTCCGGCTTAAAAGTTTTGGTTGTTGAACCACCTCTAGACCTTAGACTTGTTCCAGAACCTGAGTGTTGCGTGCACATCCGTTGTATTGATCTGACGTTGATATGCAGACTGTGGGTTTGTTGTCTCTCAGGCAGATGCACTCCGACAAGGAAGAATAAACACTAGTATCAACAGTTACAAGACAGAGAAGATTATGCTGTACTGGACATATTCTAAGAGGAGAGGAACGGAGAAACGTCAGACAGGCACTGGAATATGAACTAGAGGGTTAAAAAAGTCATGCATTTACAGTTAGCACATTGTTACAGTTAGCTGCCCCACCTCTAGTTTGTCTGTACTAATAATACTTTTGAAGTTATGAAGTTTTTAATTTGGGGCTAAAAAAACTAGCAAATTATAAAATTAAAATATTTATAGCTCAACTTATATTAGGTATTTCTCAAAGCTGGTGGTAGGGGGGATAACTGTTATTGTTTTAAAGCTGTGTACCAAAGTAGATTTGTTTATCTCCAAATCACCAAAAGATCAGTCAGACCCCCTAAATTTTGGCAAAGTTTTCCCAAAATTTTAAAGAAAATAATTGAATTTAATCGGCTTGAATGAGCTAATGTTCTCCAGGTAATCCTTCCTGATGGTTCTCATCTCTAGTATGTCTACTCGCCTTTTTAGCTATTCTGACTTCATATAATGCATCCTTAACTTGCTGTTTAACATTTTTTTATGCAGCGTACATCCTTATCTAGAAAATAATCCTTATTTAGAAAACAGTCTATAGGAAACTGCCCAAAACTGAGCTCCAGGGCCTTCACAATATCCAAGAATGACCTAGCACAATCACTGAATACTCACTGCTAATGAAACAGCTGTAGTTTCAACCAGTAGTTGTAGCTACTTTAGTCACTGAAAATACAATCTGACTTCCTAACCCTTGCCTCTGAGTTTCAACTTATCTAAGGCTATGATGACAACTTGCACACACTAATTGTGATCAAACATTCTGACACAAAATGTCCATATAAATAATAATAATTATGTTGCCACTGGGGAAAAGTTTAGATAAATAATTCCTTTCACTCTCAATGTAACTACTAAAGTCATCGGAACACCTTTGTTTATCCTCTAGATTTTCATTCATAATTTTTTCCATGAACAGAGGTTGTGGGCGTGACACTTACATATTTTTATATTACTAAAACCTTTTTTTCTTAATCAGAAACTGGACAAGTGTCAGTGCCACTGCTTGAAACTAAAACACGAGGGTCCGATTGAAAAATCTACCAGTCAAAGTCGCTTTATTCTTTTCAAAGTTACTTTGAAGCAAAAGTAAATTGATGTCCAACTCTTTGGGACTTTACATCTCTGTTTTGGAAATGGAGGCATAATTATGAACTAAATATTGATCAAATACAAAATGTAAAGCCACATAAAAATCTCGCTGTAAACACAATGCAAAATAGCGGAAGTCAGTTAGCGGAGTAATCGTTATTTATAAATGAAGACCACAGAAACAGAGAGCGGTGCATTGTTTTGGATTGAGAAATACAAGGATTTTCTGTCAAATGGTGACGTTGAGCAATCCACATACACCAATTTATAATCGAAATATCTCAGGTTCTGTTGATCAGATTTTAAAATTTTTAACTGCATATCTTCTTCTTCAGCGATCTCTGGTCATGCGCATAATCCACTGTGGGTCATAAACTGGGATGTCTTTTCAAGGTCTCTTAGGTTTCCCCAAAGCTTAGTTGTCAGTTCTACTGGGTGTTGCCATATATCGCTCCGCAGCTCCGCCAGGAGAGGACAGTCTTGCAGGACATGTTCTGGAGTCTGTTCAGCACGAAGACACTGGCAGAGAGCTGTTTGGCTCATAGCTAATTTATATACTGCATATAAAAAAGACATGTTCATCTACAATGTTAGCCGCATAGAATGTGTAAAAGCAAGAATACGATATTTTTACAATTGTAAGGGGACAAAGTGACATTCTGAACAAAATAAGCTCTCTTTTGGTAAGGGGACACATTTTTAAGAAAACAAAGTGACACTTTGACAAAATAAGCTCTCTTTCTGTAAGGGGGAACATTTTAAGAGCACAAAGTGACACTGACTAAATAAGATCTCTTTTCGTAAGGGGGAAAATTTGTGAGGGTACAAAGTGACATTCTAAATAAACTCACTTTTCTAGATGATGTGATAGTGTATGAGCATTTCCTAGACGACCTGATAGTGAATGAGTTTTTCCTAGATGACGTGAAGTGTATGAGCGTTTCCTAGATGACGTGAAAGTGTATGAGGATTTTCTAGATGACGTGATAGTGTATGAGGGTTTCCCAGATGACGTGATAGTGAATGAGCGTTTCAGAGATGACGTGATAGTGTATAAGGATTTTTTAGATGACGTGATAGTGTATGACGGTTTCCTAGATGACGTGATAGTGTATGAGGCTTTCCTAGATGTCGTGACAGTGTATGAGGGTTCCTCAGATAACGTGATAGTGTATGAAAATTTCTTAGAGGACGTGATAGTGTAGAGGATTTCTAGATGACATTATAGTGTATGAGGGTTTCCTAGATGACGTGATAGTGTATGAGGGTTTCCTAGATGACGTGATAGTGTATGAGGGTTTCCCAGATGACGTGATAGTGTATGAGGGTTTCCTAGATGACGTGATAGTGTAGAGGATTTCTAGATGACATGATAGTGTATGAGGGTTTCCTAGATGACGTGATAGTGTATGAGGGTTTCCTAGATGACGTGATAGTGTATGAGGGTTTCCCAGATGACGTGAAGTGTATGAGCGTTTCCTAGATGACGTGAAAGTGTATGAGGATTTTCTAGATGACGTGATAGTGTATGAGCGTTTCCTAGATGACGTGGAAGTGTATGAGTGTTTCCCAGATGACGTGATAGTGTATGAGTGTTTCCCAGATGACGTGATAGTGAATAAGGATTTTTTAGATGACGTGATAGTGTATGACAGTTTCCTAGATGACGTGAAAGTGTATGAGGATTTTCTAGATGACGTGATAGTGTATGAGCGTTTCCTAGATGACGTGGAAGTGTATGAGTGTTTCCCAGATGACGTGATAGTGTATGAGTGTTTCATAGATGACGTGATAGTGTATAAGGATTTTTTAGATGACGTGATAGTGTATGACAGTTTCCTAGATGACGTGATAGTGTATGAGGCTTTCCTAGATGTCGTGACAGTGTATGAGGGTTCCTCAGATAACGTGATAGTGTATGAAAATTTCTTAGATGACGTGATAGTGTATGAAAATTTCTTAGATGACGTGATAGTGTATGAAAATTTCTTAGATGACGTGATAGTGTATGAAAATTTCTTAGATGACGTGATAGTGTATGAAAATTTCTTAGATGACGTGATAGTGTAGAGGATTTCTAGATGACGTGATAGTGTATGAGGGTTTCCCACATGACATGATAGTGTATGAGGGTTTCCTAGATGACGTGATAGTATATAAGGATTTCCCAGATGACGTGATAGTGTATGAGGGTTTCCCAGATGACGTGAAAGTGTGTGAGGGTTTCCCAGATGACGTGAAAGTGTATGAGGGTTTTCTAGATGACGTGATAGTGTATGAGGATTTTTAGATAAAGTGATAGTGTATGAGTGTTCCTCAAATGACGTGATAGTGTATGAGGATTTTTAGATAAAGTGATAGTGTATGAGTGTTCCTCAAATGACGTGATAGTGTATGAGAGTTTCCTAGATGACGTGATGGTATATGAGGATTTCCCAGATGACGTGATAGTGTATGAGGATTTCCTAAATGACGTGATAGTGTAAAGGGCCAGTTAAGTGAGTAGAGCCTGAGAAAATGATGCTCGCATGTTTCCGTGTTTGACCTAATCATTTAAAGTGAGAAATTCTATGCGTAAGGATAGAGGTGGAGGAAATTACTGCAGCTCTAAATTGAAAAGCCAAAAAAAAAAAAATAGAGTAGCCAGAAGAATTGTAGCGACTAATTATCAGGAGGCTGCGGAAAGCTCATTTACAATATAAAAATATGGCATTAGTGGATTTCAAAAATCACATATCTTTCCGATACCACTGCCCAAACAAATCTTAGGCGCAAGGCCGGCAGCTGGGATCAGACCCGACACCGGGGCACTACAAAGCGCGCGCGCTACGCCTACGCCACAGACGCCGACCAGGTTCTAAGACAAAATGCTATTTATTAGCTAATCTTCTTTGTGTGTTCAGATCTTATAGAACGTCAGTATTTCTTGTCTTTGATGCATTCTGCGAAGTCTTCTGGTACTCAAAGAGTTGATAAGAGAACAACAGTACAGTGTCAAACGGGCCTCTTAGCACCACTGTAAATTTCCTAGAGGAGTAAAAAAAAAAAGAGGTTGCGGGGGGGGGGGGGGGGGGGGTTCAGCCGCCTCGATTGTTGGGGTCGAGGGGAGGGGAGGGAACAAAACCCCTAACCCTCACACAATTTTAGTGGGGTCTTAGATTTCAATACATTTTTGGCCCCTAGCTTTCGGCTCATATAATGATATCTTATATTTTATTTTTAAGTTGTGTTTCTTATCTTTATATTACTCTGCAATATTGTTGTGTTATCACTCCACAGCAACATCGGTCATTCCTATGCATACTTAGTCTTCCGATGCACCAGCAACCCCCAAGGACCCTGCATTGATTGTTCCAACAAGAGGTTAATTTCAAAACTTCACAATAATAAATTGAACTATGTTTTTTTTTGTGTGGATTATATTGCATATAGCATTAGTATTATTACTCGTTTTACTTTTCTGCAATTAGGAAATATTCAAATAACCTTACCATGCTT